GTCACCTTTTTCTAGTATAGATTTATTCGTGACCAAGTTGAGGCGAAGCAAGACACTTTCAACAATGTCGCCCAGCATCAATTAGAAAGAAAATTTTCTCTAAATTTCCCTGATGATGGCTCAAATGCGAAACTTGGCCACTTAATACCAACACCATTCAGCGATCTTACGCAAAAGTTTCCAGAGTTTTACCGCCTTTTAATTTGGAGATATGCAATGCCAAAAACATGAACGTTCAACAACGTCGACCTGCACACGCAAGGAAAAAATGAACTCAAAATTTCCTGATCATGGCTGAAACTGGCAACTTCTCCGTATCTAACGAGAAATTCTCCACATTCTCACCCCCATTGAATATAGAGGTTGCGCAAGTCAAAGAGAGACGAAAAGATGAAAGTTCATTCAAAAATTCCCTGATGACAACTCAAGATCGAAAGTCCTCCACAAAAGCCCACAAAATGAGTCGACCTAAGGAAGAAATAGGAGCAATTTTCGCTCCCATGTATTTAGAGCCGAATGGGAACCGACTGCTAGTTAAACAAGGTTTATAGATGAACCCCAGCAGTTTCCTCAAGCAAAAACTCACCTTTGGAGGAAGTTTCCAGGAGAAGAACGGAAGCAGGTTGTGGGGTGTCCGGTTTCACTTCGACTGCAGCACTGCTGGAGCGATAGAGACGGAAAACTGCAGCCTCACATCGAATGCGAAGAGGCTCCCAACTTCCTCCAACTCCTGTCAGTTCTAGACGAGCGGTGCGCTCCTCCAATTGGTCCGGAGTGGCCGAACTCCACTCTGAAGTGTAGCCAGGCACCTGCAACAAGAACTGTTGGTGTTTGGAGGGGAAATTTCCAGTTTTCCTCAGCTTGGCTTAATCGAGTGTGGCCCGCCCAATGAAATTACCACTGCGGGCAGTAATGGGGCCCAATCAGCCCCTCACTTAAGACAAGAGGGAAAAACGGAAGCTGTCGATATTTTATTCGGTAATCGAGCCGCCCCGAATCGGTCACGTATAAAAAGCAATCGCTCGCACCGAAAGTTTTTCCTGGCCTCGGGCAATTTTCCAACTTTGGATAAGCGACCAATTCGGCGAAAGTTCGGACAATTCAATTATTTCGGACGCCACCGCCGGAAAATCTGCCACTAATTGCCAATTTTACAGCGTTATGTTTTGTTGATTTTTCCTTAAAGTTTCCCGGTCAACCGGCTAGAAAAACCTTTAACCTTTTGCCGGCCTTTCGGTTCAATTTCCTTCAGTTACCTTTTCATCGTTGACGAAAAACGTGATGTTGGCCGCTGGATGCGATGGAGGCGCGTGACAATCGGCGATCAGGGGCCTTCCATGGTCCAGACCAGTTTTGTCCACCAACACCATTGGAATTCCCACTGGAGCCACTAGAAAACCCAACTGTTTTTCAAACAAAAACTTGAAAGTTACGACTAAAAAATCAAGCTGGCAACATCTGTTACTAATAAACTCAATGCGGATGTTGGTGAGTTTGCAGTGGTTAAATGGACTTCTGCAGAAGGCAACGCCGCATTTTTTGAATTTCCTGATTCTTCAGGCGCTTCTCCACGAGCCCCTGCATAATGTTTTAGGTGTGAAACTTCGGCCCGGTTCTGGTGCTTTTTTGCTGCTCACAAAACTCGGCTTTGGCCTCAGTTTGTCGATTTGAAACACTTTGTTTTTCCACAGTCTGGACCTTCAAGAGCGCGAAGCCATTGAAAATCTTGATACAAAGGCCCACACGCAAAGTTTCCCCAGGACGTTTTTCGGTGCGACAATAAAAACTATTTACCACACTGGATTTTCGCGCAATTACATTCCACTCGAGCCGCCACCGCAATTTAAAAACAGGATTTTAATTTTTAATTTTAAGCCCATAAAGAGTAATTTAAAAAGTCGCCAAGCTCGGTGGTCGCATGATAAATTGCATCCGCCCCATGATATTAAATCTCCAGTGTCGACTGGAAATTGGGTCTCATGCCAATTTGCACTCATTAATGTCTTTAACGAAGGATTTTTTTGCAAGAAAATCCCCCGCA